CTGGGAGCACCGAGCCCTGCGGCGGGTTGCGGGCAGCCAGCTCCCTCCCCGAAGCCCGATCCCTCCGGCACTGGCACCGCTCTGGGCTCCGTGCGCTCCCCTGCTCGTCCCAGCTCCGTTGGGTGCCCCCTGTGGGCGCCTGTCGGCCTCGGCTCCACCAGGAGCACGGCCGACCGTGCGCCCTCCCACTTTCTGGCAAGCAGAGCCTGGCTGGCGCTCTCCCGGTGGCCGTGTGTTTCGCTGGCATCGGCCGTCTATTCGCTCAGCCGGGGGCGTTCCGTTCGCGGTCGCAGTGGAGCGGGGAAGCCCGGGACCTGGGGGCGGGGGCAGCACCCGAGCTGGCGCCGAGCCAGGTGATCCTCGGCCGCGGCGCGGCTTCTGTACCCCACCGCCTGTTTCTCATCACCGCGTTCAGTCGCGGCGCCCACCAGACAGTGCCGGTCTCCGGCGCCACTAACAGCCCCGGAGCAAAGTTCAGGGGCGCTGGGTGCCGTCCCTTCCTCTGTCCCTGGACGGCTAGCGCCGGCCTTTTGCCGGTCGCACTCCCCGGCCTTCCCCCTAGCCCTTCGGCCGGTAGCTGCGAGCCGCCGGCGCGTCTGTCACCGCGCGGGTTTGTGCCCCGTGTCTGTCGCAGCGCCGCCCGTTTGTCACAGCTGGACTGTTTCTCAGCGACGGCACCGTTGACTTGGCAACGCGGCTGTTTCTCGGGGGCAACGCCGCTAGTTTCGCCCAGTTCGCATTTCTCTAGTCGCGCGCATCTGGCCATTTCAAAGGTGCGGTTTCCCTACTTCCTCCGACCGTAAGGTGTCTTGGTGGCGGCGCGGCGGCGAGGCTGCAGCCCGCCGCCTCTCTGTGTCCCTTCGCTAGCGGAGCCGGGCGGCGCGCTCTCTTTCCCAGCGAGGACAGCAGGGCAGACCGCCTCCCTCCCGACATGAGAACAATTACTGACCGCGCCGCGGGGCTCTCTGTCTCAGAACCTCGGGACTTGGCGGTCATCATCCATTTCTTGCTTTTTAGCAGCTTTGGACTTAGCGGTGCGTGGGCTTTCTTTGCGGTAGCAAGTCCGGTGTAGTCGGGCCGCGATTTGCACAGCTTGTTCCAGAGACCGGGAGCCGCGGCGAAGGCGATTCTCTCAGCCGCCGCAGACCCGGCTTTAGGCGGATCGAGGGGGTAGCCAGGCCTCGGACTTCTTGGTAAAAGGAAGTCCACGTTGACTCTTGGCAAATCAGCATTTAATCCTGCCTTGGAGATTTCTCAGTCCGACCAAATCCCGGGTTAGCCATTTCTTAGCGCAAGGTGAGGCGCTTTAGTTGAGCCAAAGTTTTCCACTCCTAGTTAAGTCCGAAAAACCCGTGCCTGGGATATCTGAGATCCGTTCAAGACCGAGTATGTCCAGATTTTCCAGGAAACTGTACCTGTTTATCAGGCCTGCCATTTCTCAACGGTAGCAAATTGTGGTTTGGAAACAAATACGCTTGTTCCTAGGTCCGACAGAAGGAGTCCAATGGCAAAACTGACTTTTTGGGTCGTATTTCATTGTTTTTGCTTTTTGTGTTTTGTTTTGTTCTGTTCTGTTCTGTTTGCAATAGGAAGTCCACCTTAGCTATGGTCTTTATTACTAAGTCCGGGAGAAGTCCAATTCAACAGACGACAAAAATTTCTTATTCGTGGGAAATTTTGGAAATTCAGACTTAACTGTTTCTGATTGTCAGCCTCACAGAAGTCAGTGTATATTTGCTAAAGCCATTTCTGATTTGGAGTAAGCTCTGGGGTGTTCTGTCTGAGCAATGGTTGCATCATTAGCCCTTAGAAGTCGGATGTGTACTGGCAAAAGTGATTTTTCAATCCTACCAATGCTGGATTCGCCCTTTCAGAGTCGGTCTAAACTGGGAGAAATAATAATTTCTTCATCCTAGCAACTTCTGTAAATCTAGATCTAGCTGCGTTTCTGTTTATTATGCCATCAAAATGTGTAAACAGGCAAAAGCGATTTCTTAATCGCAGTGGATAAGGAAAGGGTTAAGATATAGGGAGGGAAAGATAGGGGCTCCTGGCTAGGCTCTGAGACTATTCCTGGCAGGCAGAAGCACCAAGACAGAGTGAACAAGATAGAAGGAAACAGACCACCGGCCTCCCATGGTCGACGGTCAGGGGTTTTTTCCTTTGGCGGCTACGGTATATCACAGACAATGAACAAACCTCAAAGAATTAAGTCATTAAGGGTGTTTTCATAGTCCATGCTCAAACCGAGACGGCACAAGAATCTCAAGTCACAAGTTTCCCAGTCAGTTCTCGATAAAAGACTGCCACTAAAAGCCCTCAGTGGCAACCCTGTCGAGACCCCTCTAACTCCCCAGAGCTTTGCTTAATAAAACTCTATGGCTTTCCTCACTCTCCTTTGTCCACGAGATACATTCTTCAACTATATGAGACAAGAACCTAGCTCTCCAGATTCAATAGTACGTTAGGTGTTGGAAACACAACGTTGGCCAGTCATTTGTTAATATGAAAGTCTGGGGGCGCCTGGGTGGGTCAGTCATGAAGCTTCTGCCTTCCGCTCAGGTCACGATCCCAGGGTCCTGGGATCAAGCCCCACGTGGGGCTCCCTGCTTGGCAGGAGGCCTGCTTCTTCCTCTCCTACTCCCCCTGCTTGTGTTCCCTCTCTCGCTGTGTCTCTGTCATATGAATAAATAAAATCTTTAACAAAAAGAAAGAAAGAAAGTCTGTAAAATCGGTATACACTGCTGAAAACAATTTCTTCATCGTCGGAAGTTTTGATTCTGCAAGAGACAGTCTGCCTTAGCCGGTCATTCCTAGCAGTACCCAAGTGATGTTTCGGCAATAGGAAGTTCAAACGTAATTGTGCTTTTTATTACAGAGTCCAGTAGAAGTCAGTGTCCACTAGCTGAAAAGATTTCTTGTGCGCAGCGAGTTCAAGGCAATCCTGATTTAGCTACGTTTTTGTTTAATGACCCTGTAGAAGTCGAGTTCTTAATCATGGCAATGCTGTGTTCACAAGTGAAGGCGGCTGTGGAGTCCGTGCAGAAGGCTGATGAGATTTTTTTAGGTGTCACGAATACGGGTTTAGTCGTGTCAGGCATTTCTTAGTCCTCCTTCCTCTCGGTTCATGTGTACCGAATACCAGATTCCGCTGACAGGAATGTCATAATCGTAGGACAGCACCATTTAGCATGTTTGCAATTTCTTTCCTTGGGTGAGTTCTCTGGGTGTATTTGCTCCCTTGGTTTCTTATTTCCCTGCAGTGTATTTTCCTTTGAAATCCACGCGTTTTGATTTCCTTCTGTGTTAACAAGGGTTCCCACCAACGTCTCTTGACCATTGGCAGTTTATCGAATGCTTATTTTATTTGTTACTTCCTGAATTTCACTCTAGTATGTATTCTACTGATTTCCTTGAGCGTTTCACCGCTCAGCTGCCTGCTGGCCTGCGTTCGCCTACAAGCCAGAGAGCGAAGCCCCGTCTGGGCCCGGCAGGTGCGGGGTCGCTGGGCTTTGTGCAGGCTGCTCCAGTCCTGCCAGACAGAAGGAGCACTGTGTCTGCTTTATGGCCTGTAGCTCCACTCCGACAGTTTGTGGTTTCGGCAAGAGTAGTAGGCACCAGTAGGCACCATACTAGGCACCATCCCTAGTGCCTACTAAGCAGTTTCTCCTGCTCAGGACCCCAAGGTTCTCTGTGCCACCTCCTAGTCCCAGCACCGCTGGTTTCCCTGGGCCGGCCTGTCCATCGTTGAGTGACGACACGTGAGGCTGCCGGTTTGGAACTTGCGCTCGCTCAGAAGCTACCCTCTTCATGCCCTTAATATCGTATATTTTCTTTGTTGGGTTAGTTTCTGTACGGTATGCTTATTTTTCCGTTTCATTTCGGCCTGTTTTCTTTCCGCTTTGTTTTGGTAATGGGACAAGGACCCGGAGCTGGGGTTCTGGGTGTCCTCTACAATGTTACCCTGTTTCGTTTTGTCTACTGATTTGTTACCACTGGTCTCATGACTTCTACCTTGCCTCCGCCCACAAGCCCGGGAGAGCACAAATAGCCAGGCTGTGGTACTGCTGCAGGCTTTGCCAACTTAATCTGTGCAAAGCTTGAGTCCTCCCGATCAGAGGCCTCCTCCGCGATGGAGCGTTTTCTTGGCAGTGTGAAAGGGGCTTGGGATTCCACCGAGGTGGCACCAGAGCCCCAGCCTCCATCTGTGCTGTGCTCAGAAGATTCTGGGCCTCGCCTGCTCCCTTTCTATCCTGTGCTGGGAGTGTCCCCAGGCCACGGTGGTGGTTTGGACTCGGGACTGCTTTCCAGCCCTTGTTGGCGGCTTCGCTGGGTCTACCTGCAAAACGACGTCTGTCCCAGAGCCCAGAGCACCTTGGAACGAAGACCCGCTCTGCCCACTGTGAGCTTCGGGCCCGGGGCACAGAAGAAGCCAGAAGCATCCTCAGGAGAGATGGACCCTGAAGAGGAGCCTGAGCCACTCACCCACCAGCAGCTTCCCTCCACCAGGACGACCCGCCTGGCCACACACAGCTGGACAGGGAGACCTGACAGTGGGCATCCTTCGCAGCAGGAACACCCCAGACCTCCCCTCCGCGCCTGGGGGAGGCACGTCCGGGTGTTCTCAGGCTGCCTGGAGTGGATTGGTCACACCGTGTACAGCATGAGTTACCGCTGTTGCCCCTGCATCTTTGGGTCTAAGGAGTTCTGAGGTCGGGGCAGGAGCCTTTTTCTATCTTCCCTCAGGAAGAGATTCTCATTGGTGAAACTTGCGAAATAAAAAAGTATTAAGATGTGACTTCAGAGTTCAATGTCCAGTTCTGCCTCTTGGGCTCTGAAGTTCTCCTTTTCCTTACAGGTCTCTGACTACACTCAGGTCCCTTATATATTCCACATTAAAAAGTACGACTTGGCTTTGTTCCTGTTTCTTCACTTCCAAAAGCTGGTGTACACAGAGGCAAATTGGTTTCTTTCTCCTGGCCAGTCCTGGGAAATCACGGTTTAACTCTGTTTATATTTGCCACCTCGGTGGAGTCATTGTATACTGGTGACTTTGTATTAGACATTGTATATCTTCTTGCTAGGAATGTCATAAAAATTACCACATGGACTTGTTTCTTTTTCTTCACAATCAAGAAGTCAGTGTTCAGTGGGGAACAACCATTTCTTTCTCCTCACAAGTTCTGGGATATTACGATGTAACTTTATTTTGCCCCTCACTGGAAGTCGTTGTATGATGGTGAACACCATGTCTTTCTGCTAGCAATATCATAAAAATTACCACATGGACTTGTTCATTTTTCCTCACATTCAAGAAGCTGGTGTACAGTGGGGAAAAACGATTTCTTTCTCACAAGTTCTGGGATCTCACGATGAAACTTTGCTTATTTTTGCCACCTCAGTGGAAGTCGTTG